TCATTATGTCTGGGAAACTAAAGATGCTGTATCATAAGGTCATGAATAAATTGCTTGAGTTGAGGGTAGAGGAGATGACCAGAAAAAGTACAAAGTTTCCTACTGCTGCTAATACGCTTATGAAGAGCACGTTAATTTCCACCAGAACACCATTAGGGAAATTAGTTTGTTCTGCCAGTTTGTGCTGCTGGATACCATATGTTTACCTTGAGGGAATGTTTGTGGAGAACCACTTTGGGTTAATTGTAAATTTTACAATTAAATAAGTAAATATACAGAACTGTGTCTGTGATCTGCATCAGTGCCCAGACACCGTGTACCGGCACACTGGTGTGCCACATTCAGTGTGTACACATAAATATGTACTTTTACGTACTAAGTCCATACCAATCACCTTATCTGGACATGCAGACGTTAGCTACAAACAGCACTTGCACTTTTTCTTTCTGATCTGCTTATCGCTACATGCAAATGGCCCTGCACCATGCCCTTCTTCCCATTTCATGCCTGCACCGTGAGCACTTGGCTTGCCCCGCTGCTGGTGACAAGTGCTGCACCTCCACTTCACCGGGCACAAAGAAAGGTGATGAGGGGGAGAGAGGGGAAATCAGATACCATGTTAAATATCTCAGGGCAGTTGGAGTCCCATTACAGATGACCAGAGGCTCAAACACGTTGCCATTCACTGCAGTCAGCCCCCCCAGCAATCTGCGCAGGAACAGGGGACGTGCGGCACCTCAGCAGGTTCAACCTCCAGAACACTGGAACCAACCCGTCACCGAGGTCTTTATCATGCAAACTTGATGCCAACTTCAATAACGCTCCTGTTAGTCTTCTGCATTGCAGAGGCCTTGAAAAATTGATTTTCTGTTTTGCCACTGACTTCAGTGGAACCAGCCTTTAGCACTCCAAGGCAAATATATTCCTGTAGGTTGTAGTTACTTCTGAAATTCTTAATTGAATGTCCTTAAATAGTCAAACTTTCAGAGAGGCCAGGCATAGCTGCAGACTTTGCTGGGTGTTGGTGACCGCTGCTGGGTTATTATCTCCTCTTACAGTCTGGGGTTGCATTTTTTTTCCTTTTAAAATGTATTTCAGTGATTTAAAGGCCTGATCCAAAACGTATAGGAGTAAATAAAAGTCTTTTTATTGAATGCAGACAGAGGATTTTAAAGGAAGTTGGCCCTTGTTTACAGCAGGAATGTATTTTTAACAGAAACAAGCAATCTAATACTTACTGTTAGGGCAACATTAATCCAGGGAAAACACTTTGTGAAGTGGCCAGAGCTTGTTAACACAGTTAACACCTAAGGCAGCAGTGTGTATTTAAGCTCTACTAATATTGTACAATAATAATTTTTGAGGAAGAAAATCTTCACCTCTGCCTGAACAGAAACAAGACGTATTATTGACTGCCATCCGGCAAGACGTATGCTCTGGCCCTCATGAGTCTATTAATATTTGATGCTGATGGATGCGAGCTGGCAGCCTGAGTTATTAATGGCGTTTGGTTCCTTGGGCCTCACCCTCAATACATAGGGGAGAATTAACAATAACAAGAATCGTGTGCCGAAACCTCTCCTGATGCTAGAAGGGTCTGTCATTTAGTTTCAGCACCAATTTGTTAATATTTCTGAAGTAATTAAAGCTATGAAAGGTCATATAGGTGGTGGTAGCCACATTATTGGCACCATTCATTGTGATTTAAAGATGAATTTTAGGGTCCCAGGGACCACAGAAGCCCACCTGGATCTTTGTAATGTTGGGGTAATCCTATCAGATGCAAATTTCAATCAAGAAAGGACTCACTCCTTTTAGCTTCTAAGCAGCTGTGCTGAGATGTGGGACACCCTGTCTTTGGTTGTACGGAGGTGCCATCTCATGGATTTGGGCCCAGGAATGCAAAGAAGAGGGCAGGAACATGCTGCTTTACGCGAGGAGCTGGACATTTACTGCAACTGGCCCTGATCCAACACCTAGTGAAGAGAGTTTTTTCCACAGATTAGGTTTAGAGTCAGGCTTGACCCCTGAAATCAGGAGGTAATACAGGGAGTAGATGTCAGGGATATGTTTTGATAAACTGGGCACTCTAAGGGAAAATGTTGAAAGAAATGAAGCACTTCTGAAAGTCTGTGGTGTCCATATGGATCACTCTGACATGGAAAATAGAGATGTAAAATACCAAGTTATTTATAGCTAGATTTCTTAATATAGCTTTAACATTTTCAGGGTTATATGTTTGATTGAATTAGCTACTCCTTCCTATCATGTATACCACATCCAGACATTTCACTATTCTCATTAACCTCCTGATCTTAATAAAAAAAAAAAGAATAATCAACATAAGAAGCACAGCTGTTGATTAATTTTACTAAATAGGATAGAAATAAAAAGTACCATATTGCAAGATTGAAGATTCAATGCACAACATTTAAAATCGGTTTAATAGAATGTATAACTCATTAACAACTGGATAGACATACACTGCAGCATTATTCACTTGGGCAGGTGGTGAGAGGGAGGTGGAATTTACATATCTTTAACAGTACCTGAATGCATTTAATTTCATAGGTCATTCTCCCCAATCAAGTTCAAAATGTTAATAACGGGGTGTGCATTTATAATTAATAAAATCTTAGAGCCAGTGCTATAGTTCAAGTGCATTTTCCTCTTATGTAATTAAGAAGTTAAGGATATTTGGCAGTTGTCACTCTGAGAGTTCTGAAGGTCTCGCTTGTCAAACCCAGAGACAGAAATCTCATTAAGCCAGTTAGTTTCTCCGGTAAGGTTTGTTGCAAGGTAAGGGCACGTAAGGTGTACAGCCAGAATGACTAACCTGGGAGTCCACAAAACAGAATCTATTGCAGTAAATGCCAAACCTCAAAGGAGTTTTGAGTGAGGAAGACACATCCTGATGCTTAGCTTGTATATGGCACCTTTTCTTTGACGTACCCACATTATTCTGCCTGTCTGACTGCCCTCTGTGCAGAGTGGGTGTAGAGAAAAAGAGTGAATCTGCACCAGCTTGTCATCACATGGCCAGGGCAAACCTTGCATCACACGAGCCAACTTGCAGTCACGGAGCCAGCTGAAGAGCTGGAAATCCTGGTTCTCCTTTGCCCATGGCCCAGATGCTGTCTTAGTTCATCAGGTTCCCGAGGGAATATGTTAGCTCCACATCACTCTGTTCTTCTTTCCTTTTCAAAGGAATTTTCCTTTACTTCTAGATCACCAGTTCAAATCCAGGTAAGGTCAGTTGTCATAGAAATTACAGCAGTACCAGCACTCCTGCGCTGTACTTGAAATGAGTTGGGAGTTTCGTTCACACAAGATACAGCTTTCTAGGTGGCACTAATTGGCTGTCTAATTGTCACACACAGGAGAAAGGCAGACGATTGATTAGGCGTGGAGACTGAATGCCCCTCTGCCATCCCGCTCAGCTGTGGGATCCTGTAGCTCATTCTGTAGGCATGCTGGCAGGGTAATGAGGGGCAGCGTGCTTGGATTTTCTGGCTGTCAAGACAGCACCTTTTACAGCCAGGCCTTTTCAGAGGAACTTGTTTTACTCCACCAAGGTCAAAGATAGCATCTTTTGCAAACACTGCTTTCACTCAAAAGTCAGGGGCTTGTAGGATTTACTTCTAAGTGGTACCTATCTTAACCATTTCTCCCCCCTAAACCGAAGTTTTTACTATAAAATAGGAGGAGTCCTACTGGTGCTTGGCAGAACAACAGGCATATGAGGGTTTATGGTGCTCAAAATCTGGTCATATTTCCTTTTACTGTCTCAGTGTCTGATACTGTGATATACAGGCTCCTGGAGGTACTCGCCATGGCATAGGGAAGCTGACATTTTGTGCATTTATCTCCTGATAAATGGATGCTCCTATCACACAGTGAAGCCTCTCACCTGCAAAAATACATTTTGACCAATATCTTTTCCCTTGAGCTATGATATAGGTCACACTGTGCAATGTAGTTACTATTTAACTTTGGAGTAGGATAGCTTTCTCTGACATAGGATTAAATTATTACAGTTTGACTCACTGAAGAAGTAAATTTAGGAGCTAATTTGTGATGTGAAAGTCAAGACTACGAATAGAAGAAAACGGAGTAAAAATACCGTATATGTGCTAACATATGTCGACTAGACTGTGGGACTTACTGAATAGGCTTAAAGGGATCGTGTTCACATTTTATCTTTTATCTCCCTTATTGCATCAGATGAACAACATTAGTAAGGAAAAGTGTCTTACAGCCACACAAGCTAATTGGTGCATACACTGTACCAACACTTACTGTTGAAGTATTGTATATTTCTGTAATATATAAGTATTTACCCTCCTCTTCCTAGCTTTCCCAACACCTGAAGGACAGCGTCAGGAAATAGGACAGAGACTGTCTGTTTCTGTGTTTTGCTCTTTGTGCCTCCTGTCTCTGTCGTACACATCACTCCTTGTTCAGCATTCTTCCCAAAGTCACCATCTCATGCAAATTAACTGAAAACAAATGCAGGTACCAGCTATGCATCAAGAAGGTCTAATGCACCTGTCATGCAGTTTGCCTCTCTGCCAGTCTGTGGAAGATGAGCACACAGGATATCCTTTAGCTTTTTAACAACCGTGTTCTTAGAATATATTTTCCAAGAAATGCAGAGCAATCTTTGCACAGTTTCAGACTGTATATTTTGTGATTAGTGTTTCGTAAGCGATGTTTTGCTTAATGATCTAACATCTGTTCTAGGAGGTTTGTTTTTGTAACTTACACACCTCCTGCTGAATGAACGCCAGAAACTTGTCCCTTTCCTCCAAGTCAATCAAAGCACTAATTGCATCATAATCACGGGAAGCAGCAGTGACTGCTCGAGAGCTGAAGACTCAGCAATCAACTCATAACACTCTGCTCACTGTTTTGAAGGAGAAAGCCTCCCTGTGCAGAGATGGGAATTTCCTGCAATTCAGATTTCTTTAGCTGACTCTGTCTTTTTTTTTGGTTTGCAGGGAGATGACTGCACCATTACCTGCATGGAAGGAACCTATGGTACCAATTGCTCATCAGTTTGTAATTGCAAAAATGATGGCACATGTTCCCCCGTGGACGGTCTATGCATTTGCAAAGAAGGTAAACAAAATTCAGATTTAACAGTCATCTACAATTTGGCATCAAGGCTTCTCCCCTTTTAACGTGGCACAGCTGTGCAGTCAGTAACTCCACTATCTATTTGTGCCTGTTGGTAATTCAATGGTCTGCCCAAGTATCAAAACTCAACAGGGGCTTGACTGTATGTTTTGTCTCTGCCCTGAACAGGGGCCAGACTTAACCACTGTGCTGCAAGAATAGGCCATGGAACGAAGTGTGCTTGCAGAGCCACAGCTCCATTCTAAAAGAAATATGAAACAAACCCCAAACTGGGCTTTTGGGGTGTGTTGTTTTTTTTTTTTTTTCTTTTTCTTTTTTCTATCCCTCTAATGCCCCATTTCTCCAGGACTCAACAGCGCCATTTCTCCCTCCCATGCCTGGAGTAACACAGCTGGGCAAAGGAGCAGAGACAGCCTCCTGCTCAGCTTTCCTTTAGCCCGTTGTGTTGTCAGTGGGGTGAGCCTGTCTTGTTGTCATCCTCTGGTGACAACTTACACTGTGACAACTCAGCCATGTACAGGTGTCCTCTGTCTCCTGAGTCAACATGGGGCTGGAGGATGTGGCTGTCCCTTGTCTGGAAAACAAGTCTTTCCTGCTCTAGAGATTCTCTACATGACTCACCTATTTTTGTCCTTCATATATGTACAGAATTCCCATATGTGCTTGGTAGTGAACATAACTCATGTACCCAGTAATCACTTGAGAAATCTTGTGCACTCCATAACATGATGTTTCTTATCTTCCCTGTGTAGTGGTGCCTTCCCCCAGAATACCAACATGAGTTATCTCTATATGGCATTAATAAGCCCTAAAACAGAAGTGAGGCAAATAACAATAAAATCTGGCATTTCAAACATGAATTAATGAATCACTGTAGAACCCCATTTAATGAGGGTGTATAAACGGTGAGTTACTGCTCAACTCCATTACATGCAGCTGCATTGTAATGAAAGCCATTGTGCGGCTGGTAGTTAAGATTTGAGCCTTAATGGTTAGAAATGATGGCCTTGGTCTTTTTTCTGTGTGTGTAATAGCTTCTTTATATTAAAGATCCTTCTCAAAAAATATGAGGTAAGAAACAGGCAGCATCAAATAGCAAGTGTCTTATATTCAGCAGGTCTTCAGCAGATATTGCTGCACTCTCTTGCTGCCTGAGCAGTTCCCACAGAGGAATCAGACACCTTAATGTGGCAAACAGCCAACACAGTGACACCTACACCACCCTTCTCCACATATAGATGCTGGCAGAGGAAGCTGATAATTCATAATTAAAGGGCCAATCTTTGACCCCAAGATCAGTGTCTTTATTTACACCAAGATCAGGAGGAAACTGGTTCTAGAATCAAAGAGCTGCAGTTTGCACGCTGCCATTCATGCTGTGCTGTGCAAGAAAAGGGCAGACCATTAGATCTGTCTAAAAAACATGCACGACGCACCTTTGCAGGATGTTTTAACTCTCCTGACGTAAATATTACAGCAGATAGCTGTAATCCAGCATTATTTTTTTTTTCTGTGAAAACATCCCAAATGCTATTTCTTTCATAACTTTTTTCAGGGTGGCAAGGAATGGATTGCTCTATTCCATGTTCGAGTGGAAGTTGGGGTCTTAACTGTAACCAGACATGCTATTGCACAAATGGAGCTGCCTGCAGGCCAGCTGATGGCTTTTGTCTCTGCTCACCTGGATGGCAAGGGGAGTACTGTGACCAGCCCTGTCCCGTAAGTATGACTGGGATGGTCTTGCATCCCCTTTTAAAGCATAGCCAGCATAGCTCTTTGAAACATACATTAGGTCAGTATCTCATTTTGTCCATGGATACCTGCAGGAAATCATGTATAAATAACAGATTGGATTTCTAGCAATCAAGTAGATATTTTCTGTTTTGCACTATATTCAATCAGAGCTATTGCAATGCTATCTGCATTTTCTTGAGCATCATTTTTTAAAGTGATCCCTCATTTGGTTCTATATAGAAATGTTAGGCACTGAGTTATTTCTATCTCCTCTGTATGTTAATTTTAAAAATGCGACTCAGCACTAGGAGGGACATGATAGATGATATTGCACATTTTTGGACAAAAAACTGATTACTGAGAGACTTTTTTGTTTATATTTTTGGAAGGATGGAACATATGGTCTTAATTGCAGTGAACGTTGTGATTGTAGCCATGCAGATGGGTGCGATCCTGTCACCGGTTACTGCTGCTGTCTTGCTGGCTGGACAGGTAAAATTAGGAATTAACTGTGTAAAACTTGGGATTTGTTTATTTGTTTGTTTGTTTGTCTTTTGCTATTGCATCAGTTATAGTACCGGACTTCTGACTGCAAACTTTTAGATAATAGATTGAGACAAGATCAGCTGAACTTGCCCACATTTAAATCACTCATGCTGGTGACAAAAATTGGCCTTCATTAAATTTGTATTCAAATTAGTTGAAGATAGCTCCAAACCTGCAGCCAGATGTTAGCCTTCTGTAAAAAGAATCCTCAGGAGGGATGCAGATCATCTGGTAATCCTGCAGTGTTTTTCTCCTTGAATGGCCCTTTCCATGGGGGTGCAGCTGTGCCACAGTGAATCTCTGGCCATCATATGTGGGGATGCAGGTACATGTCTTCTGGATGCTGAGAGCCATTACAGCTGCTCCATCATACAAAACCAGGTTTGTCACAAACTGCTGTCTTTATGTTCTTCCATTTTCCCATGCTTCTTATCCCACGGAAGGATGGTTATGGAGAGCAGATTAGTGCTGGTTTGACAAAGAGCTCTCATGATTACACAGATGCCAAGAGAAATATTCAGTGAAGTCTGAAAGTCTGGGCTGGAGATCTCAGTGCGATCAGACCTGCACTTGACTTCATACTGATATGTCTTTTTGCCAGCTTTTGACAGCTAACATAGCAGCACTGGAGGACAAGTTATTGACCCAACCAGTATTTCACACTTAGCTGCCTAAAATACTGGTTAATCTCCCTCAGCTCTCTGTAGAGGCCCTGGAGGGAAATTAGCTTATATTCTTGCCTATATCTGCAGAGACACCAGCAGCACTGACAATCAAAATGTATTGGTATTAACAGCAATTCATTTGGAAAATGTAATTGTTTTTCAAACTAGTACAAGTTGAAAGATGTACGTAGAAAGGCACGCTGATCGGGCAGCTGACATTGGGGATACTGTTACCTTAACCCTTCATTTATGCCTTAAAATAATACATGCCTTGTATTTCTAATGGAGAGAACATCACTGCAGCCCAGCTCTGAGAAGCATGAAGCAAAAGCAGTAAAATTATATCTTACACTTTATGGAAAACATCATTTTAGAATTAAATAAAATGCAAAAATAAGAATTTATACAAACATTACTTACATCAGAGTTATTTTACAAAGGTATTGGGCATGCATCCCTGAAAAGTGTTTTTTCCCACATGAGAATCCATTTCATAAGCTCACTACTACCCACTCTGGCTTGTGTTCTTCACTCACTGGACTGCATTCATCACTCTTTGAGTCTCTTTACCATCAATATATCCATCCATCAAGCTTTAAAACTCCACTGTGCATTATTGATGCCCATCAGAAGAACAGTTGATAGGTTTTCCTGTAGTCATTGTGAGTTTTTTTCAAGGGACAAAATGGTTTTTAAAAGTACAGTAAATTAATATATATATATATTTACTCTAAAGGCTTATTACACATCTTCCTGTATGTAGCATTTCAGATGAAAGTGCTTTACAGACTTTACACTTTACAGACTGAAGGCATAGCTTTTTCTCAAAGTTATTTGAAACAAATACTCTGTACTTTCAGAAGCACATGCACGTCTGTAAATGTACATCAAGTGCAGATATAAATTACTGCAACTAAAAGTAAGAATAATTTCTGTGATATCTCCCTCTTTTTAATTTCTGTATTGGGTAAGGTAAATGTACGGTAACTTGCAGGACACTTGGTGCAAATTAAGGTCTTTGTTCTTCAATATGTCTCTGCAGTTCTGGAACTCCTTTCTCCAGGATCACATTTCTGGGAGAAAAATATTATATTAGTATTTGAGACCAGGCTTGAGTTGAGATGTTGACAGGACCATGTAAGGTGTGCACTGGAAATGCTGATAGACAGACAGAGCCAACATGTGTTTTGTCAATTCTGCTCTCAGTGTTTTTTCCACTTGGCTTAGCACCAGACACAAGGATAAATTCTGCTCATACTAGTTTGAAAGTATGTAATTTAAGAAACTCTTCAGCTAGATAATTATATTTTCATATTAAGGAGTATGGCATCGGTAGAAGATTAATCTTATCTCTAGTTGTTGTGAACTGGGCCATGATGTGTATTGCAGTGCATTTTATAAATATGATGTGATAAATAATTCAGGCTTAAATTTGTGCTTTCTGAGTTTGGTACTAATTAGGCATGGCCTGAAAAAGATCAGAAAAGTTCAGGATCGTGGAACATCTGAAGGTTTTCCTACCCACTCACACCAGACAGAGAATTCACGAGGTTTTCTGATCCTAACAGCCACAAAACTTCATCTGAAACAGCATATTCTGTATGTTCATCCCACATGTGGGACTCCCCGCCTTGATGTCAGTGTTCTGTGTAGAGATCAAGGGGAAGATTGAGCCCATTTTCTTTAAAGTAGTTTTCAAGATGTTACTGATATAAACCTTCAGAAACTGATAGACAGCAGGAGCATGGAGGAAGACTGGGAAAAGAAGAAAAAAGGTACGGAAAGAGTAGCATACAATATAAGTTAATAGCAGTCTACCATCCTTTTATTATGTTGTGACTGCCACCCATCAAGAGTCTTTTATTCAGGGCGATGCTCTCCCACCTTTCCATGTGTACCAGCTGAGAAAAGGTAATTTTCTGGAGTGGAGCAAACTTGGCAGAGGAGAAGATGATGAAGAGAATCCCACGTATCAGCCAGGAGATTACAAAGCTGTACAGACCAGCTGTATGCATGAATAAGCACACTGGCAACAAGCTGCTTAGACATGCATATACGGTTTCCTTTAGGTTCAGTGGGGAATTGCACATGTGCAGCCAAAGGCAGAAGTTAGACCCTGAGACAGATCAGATCTGAAGATGATTGCACCCTGATGTTATAGCTGAAAATTACCCAACCAGGTACACAGGCACATTGTGTCACCAACAGCTTTGTAGATAGCAGGAAAACTGTAACCTTTTTACTTAAAAGACCAAAGCCACATTGGCAAAAGGCTCTCACATGGTACAAGTACAGTGAGACTTGTTCACATGTGGGCCGAAATCAGATCTGACCTGCTGACATGATGTGAAGCTGGCTTTGAATCCATATGAAGAAAATGTCAGTTGCAGATAGAAATAAGGTCCTAGCCTTGTACTGAATGGAGTTCTTGAGCTTGCACATGCTTAACATATAAATAGTATCCTTGAAATTAAAAGATGTCTTCATGTCTGCTGCCAGGTTAAAAAGGAAAAGCGTAGCCGCCAGCAGGATCGAGCCTTGTCTGATTAGACTGATTGCTTTCTAAAGATTAACAAGGGTCTCTCCACCCCAGATCTGCTATGCATTTTAGATACATATCGCTTTTGTGCTTGCAGCTGTGTATGTCTGTGTGTACGTGTGCGCACAGATACCTTACAGCTACCAGTCATTTGCGAGAGAGGTGCTATTTTGTGTACATTCAGGTTAAAATGAAAATGCTTGAAAATGGAGTGCTTCGGTGCTAATTGCATTTGCTTAATTAGGGATCTCGCTCACACTGTATCCTCGGAGAGAATGCAAGTGCAGAAAAACTGCATGGCGGAGCGTTTCCTGGAAGTCCTTTGGAAGAAAACAGGTCCTAGGGAAGCAGGCTTGAGCCACATCTTGTCCAAGTGAAACTCCTCCCCTGGATGCTCATAGACTCAAATTTCAGCCAGGCTCCTCTCATTTAATAAATGACCTGAAACTGGACAGAAGAGGGCCATCTACTTGGGTAGCCTTGCTCTGGAAGCACTGCTGCAGCTAAGCCAGCTGGGTTTTGCAAGCCACACTGCAAACCCCAGCAGCCCAGTGCTCATTCCTCGAGGTGGCTGCTGACTGCGTGTTTCTTACCAGAAATGGCATCCTTACAGATGCCAGAACCAATACTACTCTATAGCCTTTAGTTGGTTCACTCAGTACAGCCCCCCATAGCTGAATTATTCGTAGCTGCTGCTCTGTCTTTTACTTTCTGGAGGTGCTCGCTTTGTGCCTGACCTGGGCCAAGTTCGCAGGACTCTCTGGGAAGCCAGAGGCAGCTGCTGCTCATCCTGACTCTAAGACCCATGTCCGTTCGTTTTCACAGTCAGACATCCCGCCTGCAAACAGATTACAGAAAGAGAAGCCACAGGCCTGGCTGATACTCACAGCGAGCCCATTTCCTCCCTGTAACGAGTCAATGTGCTTCATGTTAATTGTGGCAGTGTGTATTTTGTTAACCTTTTAGATATTACAGTAGGATTAAACAGAAAGTGGTCTACAGGGGGATATATTCCATTCATGTAAATGTTAAGGTCAGTTAAAATCCTGTTTATCTGAATTCCTTTAATCTGAAATGCTGTCTTATCGGAATCTTGGTTGTGTCTTTTGTTTTTTGTATCGCTGTCTGCTTTCTGTAGAACGCTGTCGTTGTGATGCTATCTCAATTATCGCACTGAACTGCTAAACTCAGTAGCTTTTCTGAACATCCAAAGCCAAAGTATATTCAGTAGGTTTCAACGTCCCCAGATGCATGAGGAAAATAAGACAATATTGTAGAGGTAAGATGGAAAGTAAAGGCGTATGCATCCCATAGATGATTATAAAAGAACCCTTCATAAGTTAAATCCTTCTTAGTTAATCAGAATGGCAACTACAAGAATGAAAATTGTATGTGGTGGTAGAGGAAGAACCATTTTGTCACTGTGTTGGTACTTTTCACCTTCAGACTTCGTTCATGTCTTGTGAGAGCAGCCTCCCTCTTTGCCGCAACATACACAAAGTCAAAATATCTATTTCACTGTCCTTTACAACCTCTGTAACTTCCATACGTTGCCAGCAACACAAACCCTAATTGTCTCTTATCATGTCCAGAAATACTGTACAGTAGTTGTGGTAGTCTCAGGTTGTAGGGACTTCCACGTGTGATTGTATAAGCGAGTTAATGGGGTCAGGAAATGTAGGCTGGTCACAGATAAGGTGAGCTTTGAGGAATGAGACTTCACATTTGAGAGAATTTGCAGG